TCTATTTGTCAATATTAGTCTATTTAAGTTGTTTGTATTATAATTTTATTACTATATCAATAAAGATTATAAAGCAAAGTTTCGTGGATTATTTCCTCGTGGATATTTGACTAATCTCAGATAAGTTGCTTAATTCTTTTATTTTTAGTGTATTTATTTGTAAATATTATTATATCATTATCATTATTTATGTGATGTATGCAACTGAGAGGGAAATTTTGAAACTGTACATCGGTTGAGAAGATGGTTGGGAAAATGAGTATAACTTTAATTTTGTAAAGCGAGTAATTGACACTAGTAAGATAACTAACAATGTGATTTCAATTTTATTAACAGTTTTTCATCCAAAAGCGTTGTTTACTTTTTTAAGTTTTCTTTTGCCAATTGAGTTTAATATGCCTAATATTGATGTGTTAAATAAAATGTGCCGAAAAATAAAACAAAGAAAAAAAGATTCTAAAAAGTATTTTGAAGCTTCAAAAAACGAAGCATTTTTTAAAATGCAACTGTCTCCAGCTCCACAAACAAAAAAACAAAAAAAATCAGCAGATGCAGATAATTTTTATATTTTAAATAGGAATAAGGAACTAAGTAGTCAAGTTGAACAATTAATTTCTAAAGAAAAAAATAATGTGGAGCAAATAGATAATTTAAAAATACAGGTATCAAAGTTGGAAACTGAAGTTATATATTTAAATTCTAAAAACAAGGTTCTCAACGCACATTGTAACTCATTAAGTTCTCAATTAGAGACTATGAGTATTAGGCTAAAACAGGAGGAGCAGTTCCAACTTTAAAAAAAAAAAAAAAATTAAAAACAGCACACCGTAAATTTGCATCTGCTTGTGCCAAAAATGTAAGATTGCTAAAAAAATTTAAATTTAAAAAAAAAAAATGCAAAAATCAGTGATATAAACAAGAACAGTTGCCAAATTTGCAAATATTTTGCTAGCAGTGATAAGGATTTAGTTGTCCTTGATTCTTATTTAGACTATGACAACATTGGTTCCTCTGAATTATTCTGTGGGTTTAAATTAAGTAATCCACAGACTATATCAGTTAAAAAGCCAATAGTTAGTAAGAAATATACTTACATTAAGTTAGGAGATGGTAAATCTTATTCTAAGTTAGGTAGGCATGCTGCAGCTAGACGATCTAAACTTGCTTTTATATTCCTTCGATTATTAGCTTGTTCAGATTTAGAAAGTGATTTGTCTATGTTTTGTGATTCTGTGTCTTGTGAAAAGTCTATGTTTCATTGTGTTGCAAATAAGTTGGCAGTTAAGTGTTTCTGATGCTGTAGAGCTGCAGAGCCAATTAAGGATGCCCACGGCTGAATTCCGTAGGCTAAGACGTATTCTGTATAATCTTGGTGCAAGGATTCTCCCATCTGAGCCCAAGATAAGGAAAAGAATGTATTGTGTGATATAGAGAAGTATGAGTGTTTAGCATGTCAAGGTGAAGATTTAGAATGTCTTGACCTTTATATTTCTGAAAAAATTTCTTTTATACGCGCACAGCGCGAAGTTTTAGACGTTGAGTATATTCGATTGCAGATAGAGTGTGAAGACCTAGAAAAAATATCTATAAGTAGCATGGGGACTCATGAGAGGTCTCTTTATAAGGCCCTTGAAGATATGAAAGTTGAGCGACAAGCTTACCATGGTAATGTATTTGTAGGTAATCATTGTAAAATAGTATTAAGAAACCACTATAAACTTTGTAGTGTTATTGATGATGAAGCAATTAAAAATAGATTTGTACGTGTGTTTAGTGTTTTTAATAACTTGCAACCTATTCTTTTTAAGCGAAAATTTCTTTCTGATGCCAAAATTTCTGAGCTTCATCAATATATAAATTTATTTGCTATTGAGTTTCATGCTTGCTTTCCAAAAGAAAGTATCACGCGAAAAATGCATGAACTCATTTTCAATGTACCACTATTTGTAAAATTGCATAAAACTATTGGGTTGCTGAGTGAAGAGGAGGGAGAGTGTTTGCATAATAGCGTAAATAAGGAATTAAGGCAGTTGCATTCAGTTAGAAATCAGGAGCAAAAGCTGCATCTTGTTTTAAAACGCTTTGAATAGCACAGCAAAGCTGATAGGAAGCTTCAAGCCTCTAAGGTGAGAAAGTGTGTTGTGTGTTCAGAGCGTGGCGAAAATTCATTTTATAGACAAGGTCTTTGTCTTGTTTGTGGTCATCAAATTTAGTTTAAATGTTTGAAAAGTTAAAAAAAAAATTAAACTTTTTACATCTAAGATAAATTATATAAGATCCTTAATTTACAAATAAGAGAATTCTATTCTGTTTTAATGCCTGTAATGTTTATTCAAAATAATAATAATTTTTTATTACAATGATTTTATATATTAGGTAGATGCCCATTCTGTTCCTATTTTCAAAAGTTTATTATATCTATGCAATGCCTTTGCTCAGGTTAAAGAATGGAATAAAAGTCTAGCATCAAATGTATAGCAACTATTTTAATTTGTGATCAGAGCAACTGGTATGTTTGTTGGATATGATTTTGTATGTTTATGTAGTTAGTTCAAAAAACGTTTTATCCTTTGTTATGTAATTTGTAACATTTTTTATATATATTAGATCTCCGTTCAATTTTTATCATCAAAAGTTAGTTCTACCTTCGCAGTACCTCTGCTCTACATACCTCCTCTCTGGTTAAAGAATGGAATATAAGTCTCATTTATCAAGTTGGTGTAAAAATTTAGCTTGATAAATTAAGAAGTTGTAAACTTTATTATCACAATTACCAAGTTGACCAAATGTTCTTCTGGTTTTAAATGAATTATGTACGAGTCTAGTATCATCTGGGTGTTCAAAGATAGTTTACTGCTTGAAGAACTTCAAGCAGTAAACTATCTTTTTAATGAAAATAAAAACGAATTATCAAAAGATTTAAATCAGCTATTTGTGTATATTTAAACACTTTATTTTTTGTGAGAAGAGATTATTGATACAAGTACCATAAAATAATTCTACTACCAAAAGCTAGGTTAATTCAAAACCTTTAACTCAGTTTTGGTCATGAATTATTTTATTAGAATTGATGAGTTTTTATTTATTAACTACCTAACACCATATTATTAGAACTTTATTTTGTAATGTAATGATTTTATCAGCGTTCCAAAATAATTTTCTAAATCAAGAACTTCTATATTAAAAAAAGTACTCATTTAACAACTAATCCCTCCTTATAACGACGTTTTTCATAATTTTGCGAAAAATGTGGTTTGCTTTCACAATTCGATTAAGGCTGTTTTAGTTAACCTTAAATAATTAAGTAAGGTTTTTTTGTTTTCATTATCGTCAAACAATAAGTGTATTTGATAATAACTATTAGGAATATATTTTTCTAATTTTTTTTTGATAAAAAGTAACATCAAATTACAAAAATTTAGCCAAATTCAATATATGTCATATTTATTCTAAACTAAAAGAAGTTTTTCTACTAATGCATTAAATGTCATAAGGTAAAACATTTTATTGATGTCTTAAATGTTTTTACAAAACAAAATTACCTCTTATATTTCAAAAGTTATAAAAGTTTTAGTAACACCCCTTTAGTCAATATTTTCAAAAATTAACAAGAAGCCGTTAAGCTCGGTTTGAAACAGCCGTGATATATATATATATATATATATATATATATATATATATATATATATATATATATATATATATATATATATATATATATGTAGAAGATAGATATAGAGAGAGAAATTCGGGCTCAGGGTGAAGTGATGCATTTTAATTTCTGGGCTTTCTTCCTTAAGTTTTTTTTTGGTTTTTATGGTTTTTTGATTTAATTTTTTTAATCTTTTGTAGTTTTTAATATTTATAAAATATAAATATTAAAAACCACACACTTAGGCAAGACATAAAATTTAAGGTGGTAGACTGCTAAAAAAGTTAGAAAAAAACGATTTTTCAAAAGTGGCATTGTTTTAAACAGTAACTGATGTAGAGTCTAAAAATATATAGATCTTCGTATGAGAAAAAAAATTTAGAACTAATAAAAGTGATTTATATTTGTAGGGTAATTTTGTTTCCCCTAGCAACGCTCATAGTTACCGCTAGTAAAGGTTAGTAATAAAAAAAAAATTAAAAAACAAAGAAAAAATCTTAAAGCAACTAGGAAAGGGTTTGATAAAAAATACAAAAATTAAGAAAAGCAGTATATAAAAAAGGGGGATTTTAATAAGTTTGTATATTCAATATTTTTAATTTTATATGCTTTTTTCTCTGTTTTATTCTTCTAATTTTCTGGCAAAGATTGCAGGAGCTGTAATTGTCCAATTGACTTAAAATTTTGTACAGAGATTCATTATAATAAGCTTTATGTCCTGAGATAAAAAAAATTTAGAATATAGACTTTTAAAACAACAAACTTTTTGTTCTTAATATCAGAAATTCGATTATTAATTGGGCGCTTTGAAAAATCTAACAATGCTTTAAAATAAAGAAATTTTTAACAAAAATTTTTATCTCAGGACATTTATCTAAATAAAACAAATAAAAATACAAACTTACAAAATAAAAATACTTTTTGAGATATCTTTGCCAAGATTTTAGCCTGTTTTGGCCTAAAATCACCTGTTTTTGCCCAAAATATATATGAAAAAAAAAAAAAAAAAAATTAAAAAATAATAATTTTCTAATGTATTTATCATGTTCGAAGTAAAAAAATTTATTGAAATATTGTAAAATACAAAAATAATTTTTTTAGCAGTCTACCACCTTAAATATAAATGAACAAATAACATATAATAAAAAACATAAAACAAAATGAATAAGTAAAAACATATATTTTTTCACAAATTTTTATTTTTTAATATAAATATTTTTAAAAAATTTTTAAAGAGTGATTTTATTAAAAGGTATAATTATTTGGGAAACAATATATTTTGAAATTTTCATTTGAACTTTTTTTAAAATTCAAGTAAAAATATTTGACTTTAAATAAAAAAACTCACTTGTTTCTTTGGGTTTTGCAGGTTGATCATCTTCTAAAAAAAAAAAAAAAAAACTTAATTTTAGTAAGAAGAAAAAGAAACAAAAAATTATTTTGTATTATCTTTTCTATCCCCAAATAATGATACACCAATTGCATTGTGTTTGATGCTGTTAAAGATGCCAATTGACAATAAAAAAACTAATGCTGATTGTGTATCAAGTAAAACTTTTTAAAATACCTTGAATCAAACATTTTACTGATAATAACATGTAGGACTCTTAAAGTTCTGTAATTCACAATCCTAACAGATTGTGACTTACAGAAACCAGACCTGAAAACATTCATGTCTAACTTGGATTGAAACCCATATATACAATATAATAACTATGGACCAACCCAGGCACAATTAGATTAGAGGCCAGGCCAGGTTTAATGCAAGGTGCAACTTAATTTTGATGAACAGTAAGTATTGTTTAAAAAGAACTTGATTGTCAGAGAGTCAGCCATTAGACTCAAGATGATATGTTTGAAGAAAAAATTTTAACGACCTTGCTAATAAAGAGAAAACTGATTGGAGAAAAATTGTAAAACTTTATTCAAAAAAAAGATTTGGAGGTGGAACCTTCTCAAACAAAAAGTTACAACTTGAATTTTATTGGGAAAGAAAGCTATATTTTTAGGAAACAAAATAAGCTGTGAATAAATTTTAAACTTTTTACTTATTAATAAATATATATTTTTATAACTGTGTTTATATTATTATTATTATTATTATTATTATTATTATTATTATTATTATTATTATTATTGCTATTATTATTACTATTATTATTATTATTATTATTATTATTATTATTATTATTATTATTATTATTATTATTACTATTATTATATATATATATATATATATATATATATATATATATATATATATATATATATATATATATATATATATATATATATATATATATATATATATGAATAATAAATCTGAATCTAGCTTTGTATAAACTCTTTGTCTGAAATTCCTGTGACAAATTTTTCGTAGTTAGATCTATAAAAATCGATCTATAAAAAATTTTAAAATCTAAATAACTAGAATTAAAAAAAAATTACACAGTAAATTTATCAATCCTAACAAACTAAATTTCAAACTTTTTAAAAAAATTTTAAATTTTAATTTTGACTTACAGGGAAAAAAAATTTAAAATAATCAAGGCAAAAAATAAACAAAAACACTTGATTATCCAAGCAAATTGATATCATCTCTTCAACAATGAAATGTACAATTCTATAATACTAGTGCAATAGGCACCATCCACTATCTTAAAGCTTAGAACACCATATTTTATAACAGCCATTAGAGCATAGATAAGCTTATATTAGAGCTTAGATAAGCTTATATTAGAGCTTATTAAAGCTTAGAATACCATTTCCTAGTCAACTCAATGAACTTCAAATACTTAGATATTGTTGCTATAGATACACTATTATTTCTTTCAATGAGAATGTATCGCAATGGTGCTCAATTGAGAATGTATCTCTATGGTGCTCAATTGAGAATATATCTCAATGATGCTCAATTGGAAATGCTTCTCAATGATACTTAATTGATGTTTCTCAATGATGCTTAATTAAAAATGTTTCAACAACTTTATCATCATTAAAACCTCTACTGATCAAAATAATAATATACAATACTAATAATACTAATCATGTCACAGATACTAATACTAATAAAATAAGATAAAAATATCTTAAGATAAAAATAAGATGATAATCTTGATAAAAATAATACTAATCATATCACAGAAACTTATTTCAACTTCTTCCGCAATTTCTTTAAACTTTATTTCTTTAGGAATTGACTTTCTTATGGTTCTTAAACTGTCCTTTGAAATAAGTGTTCATATTTTTCTTTCTCTCTCATTTTTGGATTTATAGATTATAATAACAAAAATAAAACATGAATAAAATATTTTAATAAGCTTGGTAAGCGATAATTGCATGTGCATTTCCTTTAAAAAGTTTATCTGAATAAAAAAATCATTTATTTAATATGTAGCTTTTCTATTTTTTATTTTACTTAATTTATTAATATATTAAACTTAAAATTATAACGTTATATTTAGACATTTTATAAATATAAAACTTTTATTCCAAACTTCGAAGTATGTCTTAACAAACTCTGCTAACCTTTTAAAGTTACTTAAATATTGCTATCTTTTTTTTTTTTTATAGTTTTATTTTATAAATAATCTTCATAAATTCCAAAGTTTAATTACCTAATTAAACTAATTAAACATTTTATATATTTTTAAAACTTGATTTATACTTTTTTTTTTCTTTAAAAATGTTTTATACTTTGCATAAACTTAAGCTAAAACTCATATGCTACTGCAAGCCCCAAGATGTAACAGAAAATAGATTAGATTCAAGATCGACTACCTGTTCTAAGCAATCAATAAGTAAAAATTTTTGACAGGATTTTAAAGTTGAGTAGTCAGAAAATTAAGATGAAAATAGAGCCACTTAAGATGCAAGGTTGTCAAGGATGAAAATCGTTAATGCAGATAAGAAATAAAACAAGGATAGACCATAGATAGAACTGTAAGTTCTATCCATGGTCTATCCTTCTGAAGCAAGTCATAATTTTTCAAGAGCAATAGGCCTTGCCCTGCCATATCCATCTTATGCACAATTAAACCATTCTATTACAACAGTTAGCATGCCAGTCGTAGAGCGAAAAGATCAAAATATGATTTAATTGACAGAGAGTCAGTCATTTTACTCAAAATGTGAAGTTAGAAGATGATAAAAGATTCATTGACCTAGCTAATAATAGGAAAAAGACTGCCTAACAGCCAGCACAAACACGTTTTTTTTTAATCTTAAAAAATAACACCTTTTAGATGTTTTAAATTTAGAAAACTATAAGACATCTAATAGTAGTCAACTTAGAGACAACAAATTTGAGCTCACATTTGTTGTCTTAAAGATGAATATTATTAGATGCCTTATAGTTTTCTGAATTTAGATATCTAAAAGGTGTTAACATTTTAGATGTTTACAAGACGCGTTGTGTTTGTGATAGACTAGGCTTTGTTAATGACAATCATAAAGATTTTCCAAAAGTTTATAGAATCTAACATCTAAGATAAGATACAAGATTTAGTAAACTGAGAATATTAGAGTTAGGTACCTAATAGCACCTTTCCAAATTGATTTCATGCAAAAATATTAAACATTTAAAGTTTTGCATTTATAAATGTTTTTAAAAAGTAGAAAATTTTTTTATTTTATTGTTTTACCCAAATTGTGATTTATTGATGACAATAACTGATAACTTGAAAATTTTGATTTAACTTTGATTTTTTACAAAAAAATCAAATAAATTAAAATAAAATTTTAACTTATCTGAAAAATAATAACTGCCAGAAAATCAATAATCTTCAATAAATGGCAGATTCTATTTAAGCGGTACATCTAAATCATCTTAATTAAATCTACTGTTAATATATTTATTTTATATAACAAATTAATAAACAAATTTTAATCACAAAAAATTCTAAAAAAAAAACATTACAACAAAAATTTAACTTTTTTAATAGACCCAACTCAGTTCAATTTAGTATTATAAAATATTATTTAGAAGTTTTTTACATGACAAATCTACACAAATTATAATAAAGAAATTGAAACAAAAATTAATGAAGATTACTTGATTTTTTGCAAAGTATATAATCAAAAACAAACTTTTATTTTTGATATAAAAATATTTCTCTTAATACTATGTTTATTGCACATATTAGTAAAAGAACTAATTAGTTGCATAAAATGTGTTATGGGTACAAAACTATAAATTTAAATTTTGAACTTTGATTAACATTTTCTGTTAATTAACTATGATTAGTTTAATGATTTTTTTTTTACGTTAAAGACAACATGTTTATGTTATTAAAAAAAACTTTTATTTTTCATAATTTCACCAACTTTATAAAAATAAATGATAAACTTTAGTGATATGTGTTCACACACGCAGTGCAGCGGCCTTGTTTATAAATATTTGTATTAGGAGTTAAAGAGTTGAGAGAGGGTTGTAACTAAAAAAAGGTAGTCTCCTTGACTGTAGTGGGCTTTTCTGGCCACTACTACTTTTTTAAATTCACCTTAGCAGGCTTGGTCGGGAAGCGGGAGCGATCGCTCTCAAATACTGACCACGGAAATTATATTTAGTTGCGTAAAACTGGCCAGGTTTTTTAGTCGTTTTGAGAACATTTAAGTTTGTGTACGAAACAAAAAATTTTTGTTTTACGGACATACATGGAAACATAAAAAAAGTTGAATGTTCTCAAAACATCTTTGTGCGAAAGAATAAAAAGAATGTTTGCGAACACTAAAAACCCGCCAAATTAACGAACAAACTAATTCTATTGGTTCAAAAAATACGCTGATTAAGTGAAATAAAGTTCTAGAGTATTCTGTTAAAATGTTTTAGAAATTGTATTATTCACGATTTGTTACGTTTTGAGATTTTTAGCATTGTTTTAAGAATTTATATTATTTGTTTACGAAAATAAATGTTTTAAATATATACTAGTTAAATTGTTAAAATTTTCAAAGTTTATTATAAATCATAGATTTTATTAGTATATTCTTATTTTTTATTTTAAAAGAGATTGTATTCTTTATGTAAATGTAATTTTGTGTATTTATTTTTTATCGTAATGTATCTTTTAAAGCAATTTTTATGATTTAAACAAAGACTTACAAAAATAATTGTGTTTTTAATGAAGTTTTAATCGTTAAAGTTAATAAAACTAATTATGTAACAAACATATAAGAAGTTTCTGGTTACTAAACACAAACAACGCATACAAAGTAACTCGCGGATGAACAAGTATCGCGCCTGAGGTCACGACAGAACACAAATATATATATAGCAAATAATTAGATATAAAGAAAAATTTCTAGATATTGATTTACTAACTCTAATTAATTTTGCTTAAGTTGCCATTCTTAAAACTCGTTATACTTTTTTCTGCTTTA